TGCTGCTGCTGCTGCTGCTGCTGCTGCTGTTGTTGTTGCTTTTGATGGGGCAGCAGCAGCAGCAGAAGAAGCAGCAGCAGAATGCATGCGCCCGTCGCTATACCAACAAAAAGGAAATCCTGCTGCTGCTGCTGCTGCTGCTGCAGCAGACACCAATGGCTTCGGGCCCTCTTCTCCAGCTAGTATTGATAAAGGACGAAACTCTGCAACAAACCCTAAACCCTAAACCCTAAACCCTAAACCCTAAACCCTAAACCCTAATCCCCTATAATATACTATTGAAGTACAAACTGTGTGTATTTGAATAATTTTGTTTTTGGTGAAGAAGTGTTTGAGGGTTTATGAGGGTTTAGAGTAAATGAGGGTTTATGAGGGTTTAGGGTTTTTTACGAGGGTTTAGGGTTTAGGGTTTATACCTAGCTTAGCTTGCATGCGCAGCGTGGGGCTGCATGAGTGGTGTGAGGAATCGAAGAAAAATTTGAGGGTTTGGGTTCTTTGCATGCACTGCTGCAGCGCCTCAACCACTGGCTTTATGTGGTGTATAAACACCGCCTTCTCCAGCTGTACACGCAGCCCCAGCGCGCGGCTCTGGTAGCCGTCACATAGAAAACCCTAAAAAANGCCTTCTCCAGCTGTACACGCAGCCCCAGCGCGCGGCTCTGGTAGCCGTCACATAGAAAACCCTAAAAAATATAAATAAAATAAATAAAATAAATTAATTTAATATTTTTATTTATTAAAGTAAATAAAGGGATGCATGCATGCGGGGTAATGTGTTGCAACGAGGGGTTTAGGGTTTATAAATATGAAGAAACTCAAAAGGGTTTATGAGGGTTTAGGGTTTATGAGGGTTTATGAGGGTTTATGAGGGTTTAGGGTTTATGAGGGTTTAGGGTTTATGAGGGTTTAGGGTTTAGGGTTTACCATGTTGTATACAAAACGAACATCTCGGGGCCACCGCCTCAAAGCGATTTGCATCAACTCAATGCCAGCAGTAAAAAACTGCACCACAAACCCTAAACCCTAAACCCTAAACCCTAAACCCTAAACCCTGAACCCTAAACCCTAAACCCTAGAGGAATGAGCAAAGTCCTAGAGATTAGAGCAAAACACCCTCAATTACAAACAATCCTAAACAGAGGCGTTGACAGCTGAGAGAACGCTGAAAAGGGTTTAGGGTTTATGAGGGTTTAGGGTTTATGAGGGTTTAGGGTTTAGGGTTTGGGGTGTACGTACACCGCAGTCATGAAAGAGCCGCCCCATAGCCAGGAAGATATTCCTCTCCGTAGGCAGAGCGTCGCTAGCTGCTAAGTAATGAAACAGGGCCTGCAGCAGCAGCAGCAGCAGCAGCAGCAACAGCAGCAACAGCAGCAGCAGCAGCAGCAGCAGCAGGAGCAGCAACAGCAGGAGCAGCAGCAGCAGCAACAGCAGCAGCAGAATGCATATAGCCTTTTTTGCATCAACTATCTCCATCTAGGGTTCAGGATTTATTAGGGCTTATTAGGGTTTATTAGGGTTTACTAGGGTTTATGAGGGTTTATGAGGGTTTGTTTATAAGGGTTTATGAGGGTTTGTTTATAAGGGTTTCCGAGGGTTTAAAGGGTTTATTAGGGTTTTATAATGGTTTGTAAGTGTGCATGAGGGTTTGGGGGGTATATGCGTTTAGGGTTTCGACGGTATAGGGCTTCGAGGGTTTAGGGTTTCTATGGTTTAGGGTATGGAGGGTTTAGTGTTTCTAGGGTTTAGGGTTTAGGGTTTAGGGTTTGCGAGTTACTTTACTGAGTTTGCTGGGGTCTGGGTGTAAAGGGCCTTAGCATGTAAAAGTGTGTAGGGTTAGGGTTACGAGGGTTTAGGGTTTGGAGGGTTTAGGGTTTCGAGGGTTTAGGGTTCAGGGTTTAGGGTTTGCTAGTTACTTTATTGAGTTTACTAGGGTCTGGATGCAGAGGAGTTTAGTGTGTAAAAGTGTGTAGGGTTTCTAGGGTTTAGGGTTTCTATGGTTTAGGGTTTCTATGGTTTAGACTTTCGAGGGTTTACTAGGGTTTAGGGTTTAGGGTTTAGGGTTTATAAGATGTACTTTATTGAGTTTACTAGGGTCTGCCTTTGTGACATCAGCAGCAATTTGTATATCTTCTCGCGCCGTCAGTGCAGCAGCAGCAAGCAGCAACCCCACCCCGAAATGCAAAACCCCCCTAAACCCTAGCGGGGGTTTAGACTCTAACACCCGACGAAACACCGTCAATGCCATGCGCTGCAGCAGCAACAGCAGCAGCAGCAGCAGCAGCAGCAGGAACAGCAGCAGCAGCAGCAGAAGCAGCAGAAGAAGAAGAAGAAGCAGCAACAGCAGCAGCAGCAGAAGCAGCAACAGCAAAAACAGCACCAGCAACAACAGCAACAGCAACACCACCACCACCACCACCACCA